CCCTTCCCCAGGTTTTGGTGGAAGACAAAGTAAATAAATAAATAAGGTCCGGGGTACACAAAGGGAAAAAAGAAATGAACTAAGGCATAAAAGAGAGAGGACAGGGAATGCACACCAAACCGCAGAGCTTCTAAGTTTCACTTAGGGCCTTTTATGGGCTTGAGGGGTGGGGGTGAAGGGGCTCGCGAACAGCTCACATTCTGTGGTTCCAGCAGCTCCGACAGTGGCTTGTCAGGCGCTCCCATAAGAAAAGCATCTGGATGGCATCTGGCACGACCACATCCTATAGCAGCCAAACCAGCGTCCCCCAAGCATCTACTTACGCATCGCCAGTGACAAACGCAGTGCCCCACAAATCTCACTGTTAAACACTCTCCCCATAACTGAGGCTGTCCTTCCTCGGGCCAAAAAAAAGGTGCCTCTTCAAAGTCCAATTCCATTTCAGTGCTCCGAAGAACACAGGCATGTCCCCTTCCGATATTTACAGATAGCTCAGCTCTCCCTTCAACATCTGCATTCCCTTCCTCTGAGGACACTGTAGGTCTTCGATGTTCCTTTTGGCCCTTCGCTCATAACTCAACTCAGAAAAATGTGGGTGCATGGGAACATCTATAAATTTGCTGAAATGAGAAAATATACAAACTCCCTAAACCAACTTTCAAAAAGTATGCTATTTTATTTTAATATTGATCTTCCTCCTTGCATTTCTCTTTATAATGCTCTTGTGTTTTTAACAGCTTTACTGAAGTAAAGTTTACATGCCATAAAACACCTAATTTAAGTAAGAGGTCGATGAATTTTAGTGAATTTATACAGTCGGTTTTGCAACCAAATTTCGATAGGTATTGCACTGTATCCACTCATCGATTGTGGGAAATTGCCATCTTAACGACACTGGGTCTTCCAATCCATGAATATGGTACACCTCTCCATCTGTCTAGGTGTTCTTATCAGCAGTGATTTTTACTTTCAGTGTAGTGGTCTCGCACCTCTTTTAATAAAGTTATTCCTAAGCACATTATTATTACTTAGATGCTACAATGAATGGATTTTTTTAAATTTCACTTTCGGACTGTTCATTTCTAATACGTAGAAATAAAACTGATTTTTTTTTAGGTCGCTCTTCTATCCTGTGGTTTTACTACTCTTTAAAATCATCTTAATCACATTGAGTGTTAAACGTCAGGCTGTGCATCATTTCAACTAGCCTTTCTCACAAAAGCTATGCCAAGAAGAAGGCAAACATTTCAACTCACATTTCAGAAACCACCTGCTTCAGAACAATAATCCGCAGTAAATCATTAAAGAAAGTTCACGTGTCCCACTATTTGTGTTATAGCAAGTTTCAAATGATCACTTGGCAAACTTACGCTTATTTTGTATTTTTGAAACTACTGCCCCCTCCCCCTGTTAAGATCTCTGTGCAGGAGCGTGCTGAGAGCACTTGTTGGCTGAGCACAGTCCACTGCCCATTGCTGCGGTCTCACGGGAGCGCGGCTGAGCTGAGTGGTTCACGTCTCGTCTACGGTGCTTTTGCAGGACAATGACAGAGCCGAAGAGCTGCGACAGAGGCTGCCTGTCCTGCAAAGCCGAGAATGCTTGCTATCTGGTCCTCTGCAGACAGTCTGCCAAACCTCACTCTTGGAAATGCTGGGCAGATCTAGCAAAAGTTAAGTTCTCCCTCTGTTAGTTGAGGAGCATTAATGTCCTAATAGATAGAACATTCTAACCCTCGAAACTTTTCTCTTTGTCTCTATCACCTAAGGTTTTCGATTGTTTTCCTCAAAAATTTCAAAGCTTAACTGAAAATATAAACTAGAAAGAGCATTGAGTTCTAGAATAGATTAAGTCTTAAAGGTAAATTAGATATGGATCAGAACAATACAACATATACATGCATTAAAGGAAGCTACAAAAACAAAACTCATATTAAAATGTTTTAATGTATACATGGATTTGTTATAGAGTACAACTATACCATGAAATCTTATAAAGTCCATAAAGCAGAGAGATTCTTGAATTTTTAAACTGTTAAGCACTCACGGAAGACCAAATCCTTCATTTTAAAGACTTAAACCCAAAAAGATAAATAAATAAATAAAATAAAGACTTAAACCCTCCTGTTCAAAGAAATACATTGCACATACCATGTAAAACTAGACCGAAAGAAAAAAAATGAAACTATATTACACATAATATCTTTGGCCAACACCTAGGAATGCTAAAAGTCCCATCTAATACATTAAAGTGAAATTCTTAAAGTCTGATCAGTTAAAAACATTTTAAATTAACGTAAAGGCCTAAGTGAAAAAAAATAAGCATATGTGGATGACACAAAAAGAAAAAGAAAGAAAAAGCAAAGTCAAAGAGAAAGACAAGTACAGCTATGAAATGGAACTGAAGGCCAAAACACACACTTCCACGTTCAAGCCCACCTCCTGCCACTGCCCTAAACACCAACACGGCAAGCCGTCTGCCCCAACACGCTCATCCACAGTGTCCAATCCGGGCACCGACGCCCTGCTCTAAACAGCAGTAGCACGTATGCAGGTAGCACATATGCAGGTAGCACGTATGCAGGCAGCACGTACGCAGGCAGCACGTACGCAGGCAGCACTTGCCTCCCGAACACTAACTGTAAAAGCGTAACGCGACAGCGTTTACAACTCTAAGTCCCTAACGCTGCGTGGTCCCTGAGATGACAGGAATGTTCCCTCTCTGTCCGATGCAGTAGCCAATACCCACTGGTGGCTGCTGAGCCCCGGAAATCTGGCCGTGTGACTGAACGACTGGATTTTAAACTTTAATTACTTTAAGTTTACACAGGCACATGTAATAAATGGCTATCATAAGCATATGTAGATGGCACAAAAAGAAAAAGAAAGAAAAAGCAAAGTCAAAAAAAAGACACGTACGGCTATGAAATGAAACTGAAGGCCAAAACACACGCTTCCAAGTTCAAGCCCACCTCCTGCCACTGCCCTAACCACCAACACGGCAAGCTGTCTGCCCCAACACGCTCATCCACAGTGTCCAATCTGGGCAGCGACACCCTGCTCTAAACAGCAGCAGCACGTATGCAGGTAGCACGTATGCAGGCAGCACGTACGCAGGCAGCACGTACGCAGGCAGCACTTGCCTCCCGAACACTAACTGTAAAAGCGTAACGCGACAGCGTTTACAACTCTAAGTCCCTAACGCTGCGTGGTCCCTGAGATGACAGGAATGTTCCCTCTCTGTCCGATGCAGTAGCCAATACCCACTGGTGGCTGCTGAGCCCCGGAAATCTGGCCGTGTGACTGAACGACTGGATTTTAAACTTTAATTACTTTAAGTTTACACAGGCACATGTAATAAATGGCTATCCTACTGGACAGCGCAGGTCCGGAGAACTACGAAGTTGACTTCGCGGAATGCCCATTGCCTTTCGGAAAAAGGAACAATTTCCTTTTACTAGATGTGCATTTACTAACCTTCCAATGTTTCTTCTGTTCACACGGTAATATACAAGTCCTTTGCTGTTAGTGACCTAGCTATGTTTTCCTTCCATTGTCCAGATTAAAAACATACACAGTTCTTTTTGTCTGACATTAAATACAGTATCACTTTGAACTTGTCATCTCTGCAACACTTTAAAAATAGGGTCATAATGGTACACAAACTGCTTCACCTGAAACACCAACAAAATATTTTACTCCTCTTATAAAAATGAAAATTAAAACACCAAGAACTGTAAGTGTCGCTTTACAGACGGAAGAGGGCGGCCAGGGGTGCACTCAGCGGAATCTGAGAGAAGGCGGATGTCAGAACAGAGGGATGACCAAGAAGTCGAGCACTGAAGACACCAGAGAGAATGAGATTTGGAAAAAAGCTAATCAGTTAGCTATAGGTCCATGCTTCCTCGTGCAAAATTCGTGGAATCATGTGTTTCCAAATTCAGAAATACAGTGCACGTGCCATCACACTTATGAGGGGACCACCCTCCCAGCAGGATCTGCTGGTGGGACCCACCGCTATGCTCTGCCCCTAGGTGTTCAACCAAGTATGTTTTCTATATCTCTACTCTCAAACTTACATCTCTGCCCTAGACTTCTACACCCAGCCACCAGCTCCTGCAGATACTTTGAAACAGGGACCGATACCGATCTATGTCCCATTAGGAACCGGGCCGCACAGCAGGAGGTGAGCAGCTGGCAAGTGAGCGAATCTTCATCAGTATCTGCAGCCGCTCCCCAGCGCCAGCATCACCGCCTCAGCTCCGCCTCAGAGCATCAGGCGTTAGATTCTCATAGGAGCACCGGTCCCTGGTGCCAGAAAGGTTGGGGACGGCTGCTTTAAAGTCAATATTCATTTATTCAGCAGAGCTTCACTAAGTATTTACTGCATCCTAAGCACTGTTTTAGGTGCTGACTACATGCCCACTTGCAATGTGTACCCTTAGACACCCCCCACCTCCAGGATTTGGTGCCTCAGAGAACGGTGCTTTCCTCTGCTCTTCATTTCAAGCCGTCATCCTTGACACCGTTCATGCTTGCACTTCCCATCCATCACCAAGTCCCTCTAAATCTCTCTCCAATCTATTTATCTCACTCCTTTCCACTGCCGTCGCCCCTAGACGAAGCCAACGGTTCTTAAAGGGAGGCAGTATTGCCCCCTAAGGAACATTGGAAAATATCTGGTAGTCACAGCTTGTGGGTGTGATACGCCAGCACCTAGAGAGCAGAGGCCAGGGGTGCTGTTACACGTCCTATAGTGCACAGGACAGCCCTGCACATCACAGATTATCTGGCCTGAATGTCAACGATGCCGAGGTTTAGAAACCCTGCTTTAAGTAAACAGAAGAGTGATGCATGCGAATGATTTTATTTTTGTATTTATGACAGGTCTTGAAAAAAACTACAATTTAGAATAATTTTTAATGCTGTAAAATAAAATTCTATTTTGATCCAATTCTATTATAATGAAATACATATTTAGATGTGAACAAAGTGAACACTTACTTGTGCACGTTCTCCACTCCTATAATGATCATGATACAGTAGGAGATTCCGGTTTGTACGAGAAAATGTAAGGCATACCTATAAAAAGTGAGAGCGCTGTTAGGAGTGCCCATTCGCAAACTTCGAGGTGAGACAATTTAGGCTGCAAAGTGTTTAAGCGGAACACAGAACAATCCCAGATACAGAATGAGAAATCGCATCTCCAAAGCCTACAATCCCATAAACACCCTGGACGGGGAGGCCCATACCGCAAGCCCCAGAAGAGCTGGAAAAAATAAAACCAAACCCCACAAGGCACACTCGGCCCCCTGGGATTCCACCTCTCCTGAGCTACGTGAAAGCGCCGTGGGGTTATGTGGCTCCGGATTACAGCTTGTCTCGTAACTCAAGGCACAGTGGTGAAAAGCTGTCATAAACCTGGATTTCAGACTTGTCCTGTCAGAACACCAGTTATTTGTTTCCCCAAATGAACTTCTCCAATATCAGCTTTGTACTCTCTCTTTTCAAGTATTACGCAAAGCAAAGTACTAAATATTAGAATTTACTGAGAGGCACATACACCCGAATCTATTCATTCTGAAAACGTGATGGCTCAAGTCACGTTTTTTGTACAAGCTTCCTTGTACAAATCTAGTCAACTCAATTTGCAGTAATTGACCTACGAAATCACGTTCTGGCTGAGCCAACACAGCATTTTCCATGTAGAAATTCACCATTAAATGAGAACTAATTGATCCATTCGTTTCACAAAATTCATGCAAAACATGATTAGAATCTCTGGTTTTGAAATCAATCCAAACTATCCCTGAATTATGTGTGCATATTTCTTTCTCTTTTGATGGCATGAATAATTTATGAAAAAAAATTTCAAATTGTTGTACGCAATTTAAATGTATTAATAAGGATCTTAACGTATGATTAAAATTATGTTTTAACCTAATCATCATGGAAAAGTTACTTAAATTTTGGAACAAGTTTTTCCATAGAAATAGCACAAGTAGGAAGCAGGTTCCAAGGCAGGCCCATAGAAGTAACTTATTTTACTCTTTGCAAAGAGTACATCCGTGGGTCACTGAGCCTGTCCATCCGTCTCTCATCCCACCTCAAACACGCACTCACGCTACTACGAGAGGACCACGAGGAAGCAGGAAACCACATATGAAACAGGAGGAAGCTAAAAAATATGGTTAAAACACACATTTTTTCAAACTAATTCTCTGCCTTCTGTGTACTGCCGGCATTAACCACTCACTGACGAATGTAACGTGAAAATGCTGAAGAGGCCTTTATTAATTGAGAGTAGAACTCATTAAAGATACTTGTCTTAAACAAACAAACAAAAATCTGAGGACTCCTGGGGAAATATTTTTTCTTTTCTAAGCAAATCTCCTTGGAAGATGAGGAATAAATGACAACTGTAGAAACTAAGAGTTTCTCTTCTCAAACAGCGCCACGGTGCCTCACACCACCTGAAGGTGCCCAACGCCCCCGCGCCGCGTTCTGATGGCACGCTTGGCATCTCGGGGAGCCGGCCTCCTGGTACTAAGCCTCTGTTATTGTGACGTTTACCCACACAGAGCAGATCTGCGTTCACCTGTTTCACCAACCTCCGTGACAAGAGTCAAGTTGCTTTTCTGCTCCCTGACAGCACTGGTGATTTTCTTTATAATTTCCCATACGCAGCTATTCCGTTTGCCCTCAGTAGAAAAACGAGCATAATAAATACACGGTAGCCACTTAGTACTTTTTAGAAGAGATAATTCAAGAAAAGTGTTGACTGGGGTACCTGGCAGGCAGTAAGCATTCAACTATTAAGTGTTATTATTAATGTAAAAATTCAAGAAAGATGGTATCTTAAAAGTCTATTATAATCCAACCCTAGTCATTTTAGAGTTGAAGAAACTAAAAGCTGGTATCCTGACTGACATTGAAACTAAAGTTGTTTCTTTCTGGGCAACGTGTCCATTAGCTGATTCTTCAAGGGGTGAGGTGGAACCTGATGAATTATGTGTTATAATCTTTCAAGATGCCTAAGTACTCTGAGAACAAAACAGTCCTTTATTCCAAAACTTTAGTTTGTTTTTAGATATCACATTTTACCTATTTTGAACTTCAAATCGCACTAAAGGCAAGTATAAAATTTATTGTTAGTATATAAGAGCATGTTTCTAAAAGGTTGAGAAAGGCCTCTCATCATTCAACTGATCTTTCCTGAACACCTGTACTTTCTGAAAGGCACCACACTGGACACTAGGAATAAAGAGTCGATGAGACAGTCTCTGTCCTCAGAGTGCTTCTAATCTAGGGAGAAAGACGTACAAATAAATGGACTGCTTTAATACTGCATGATAAACACTAAAAAAGAAATGGGGCCAACATAAACATTTCTAGTCTGGACCACCACCAACTGGACGATGGTAATGACGGACCATGATAACAGTGGTCTTGACCTCGTGTAACCTTCCACGCCCATAGTGAGCTGCTGTTGTGCTAAGTCAGCCCCTGTCCGTAGTATTCTGTCTGCTGGTCCTCACTGCGATCTCTGGCTCCACTTTACAGATAAGGAAAGTGAAGCCAGGAGCGGTGCGTGACACATCCAGTGTCACACGGCCACCAGGCCAAGGCACCAGAGTGGAATCAGGTTTGTCTGACTGCAGAGGCTAAGCTCTGTTCCTTACCTGACACTGTTATCAAGACAGTTAAATAATGAAAACTGTAAGCGGATTCTGTTAGAAGAAACTTGCAGATAGTTTAAAAAAAAAAAAAAAGCTTAGGCCAAACAGAAGTTGGTAAAATGATCAATTATTTTTACAGAGCACTAACGCGTCTTCCAAAAGGCAAGCGGTCAAGCCCAGTGAAAGATGGGACCGCCAGCAGAAAGGGCCGAGACTGGATCTGCGTGAACAATACAGCAAACGTGATGAACCACAAAGCGGCCCTTCCACTGCGGGTCTGCAGCTCTGCCAAGGCGCAGTGTCCTCCCCCGACACCTGGCTGTCACACAACCACAGGCACCTGAACAAACAGGGAGGTGGCGTTTCTGACTTTAAACCCTGGGGGCAGCCCTGACAATTAAGAAGTAGTTAACTGGAGGAAATGCACAGGGCGTCAGAAGGGTCATAAACGAGAGCTTTCCACTGGAATAATTCTTCCCACCAAAAACAAACCACCTCTTTTCGTTAAATGGTAGAATCTAAAAAACGGTAATAGAGTTCTATTGATGGGTTTTACCGGACTCTCAAAACCCATTTACCCAGAAATAAAAAACTATTTTAAACAGTTTATTTATTTGCAAAATAGGTGAGAAGGATTCCTCATGACAGAATAAAATGTCTTTATGCTTCGTCTGTCCTTTTTCATAAATTATTAACGAAACTTCCCTCTGAGCCCAAACTGGAGACAAAGCCCATTCTCCACTCTTCATTTTTTCTATTAAAAATAAACGCTTTAAATTTTATAAGTATACAAAACTCTGCATAATGTATCTTTCTACACACTGATTCACAAAGACATCCAAAGTCTTCATTTAAATAGGATCAGAATACTTACCATCCAAAGCAAAAAAGTGCAAGATAAAGGCCCAAAAGGGTAGCAACGACATGTCTTATAAAAGAGCTAGTTTTGCTTGAATGTAGATAAGTTCGAAACCAAATGGCTGCTAGCAAGGCAAAGAGTTGGCACACCACAAAGTTGACCTGTAAAGAAAAATTAAAATTTCACGTTAGCAACGCGGACTTGAATTTTTAATTTGCTGTCACGTTTAAATTCTCAGGACAAAAACACCAAGGTTATATAAAATTAAGATCTTCCAAAAGAAACAAAACGGAAAAATCAAGGACTTTCCCAGGGATGACAGCCTCGAGTTCAAAGTGATGGGCCGACGATGCACAGTGTCCATGCTACGTGTGACAGTGACAGGTGGCGCCCAGTGTGGTGAAAGGCCTTGAGGGACCAGGAAGAATCTGGTGGACGTGGGGTTCAGACAGAGAAATGGGGAGCCCAGGTGGGTACCCTACGGCCTGAGCGAAAGGGAAACGTGTTGAATGACTTAGGTCGAAAAGAAGAGAAACTCTGGGGTCAGGATCCGATGCAGATCCCGGAGGGTCCGGCCGAACGCGTCCTCTTCCACTGGAGGTCTGTCCCCAGGCGGGCGGGGGGTCAGGGAGAGCCTGCCGGTCAAGACCACCACGTGGGAATCAGCGGGAAGCACGAGCCTCGGCTCTGGTGGGGAAGGGATGAAGGTGCAGAGAAAGGAGCCTTCGGAACGCCACGGGGGGGACGGACGCGTCTACCCAAGTCCCCACCGCCACTGAGTGACCCGCCGCCACCGTCCACGCCTCGCCCTCCCACGCCGGGGACCACGCCGCCCTCCCCCGCGCGAGTGACGCGGAGCTGGGGGCCGGGCTGCCGCTCTGTCCTCGCCCTCGGCCTTTCTTCCTCCCGAGAAATGACAAAGTAACAAGACTCCTCATATTTAAAGACTGGAGAAAGATCGCTTCTCTCTCATGAGGTATTCTTGTAAAATGTGAAGGAAAACGTGTCTTAAAAATCTACAAATAAAAGAAAAAAATCCATTTGACATTAGAAACTTGCAAAAAAGTACAGACGACAACAACAAAAAATCCGTTTCAGGCACCTCACTGTCTACTCGTAGATGCTGCACAGACCCACCTGTATTCACCTAATACAAAGCAAAACACGGTCATCGCCATAGAATCGTCCTCGGTCACTGACACACAGACTCCCCCATCTTCGTAAACATCCACTTCGACACTGACCTCTCGGTTTAACGAAATGAGGTTGCGCCTCACTGCAATCGAAATCTTTGGGGGCGGACCCCAAAGTTCCAAACACACACATCCAGGTCTTTCGAATCCTCGGGGCGTGAGGACCGCTTTGTCTGAACATTAGGGAAAGGGCGTTCTAAGCAGGAAAAGGAGGTGTGAAGGCCACTCCAGGGCGCAGAAACCAGGTGAGCACGGGGCGGCGGGGAGTCGTGGGGACGAGGTCGGACGGGCGGGTGGGGAAGTGGGGTTCTGACTGTCGTGAGGAGTTCACAGTTAAGCCCCTGAGGAATGAAAACCCACTGAAAACTTTCGAAAGAAGAAAGTGGCTTGATCCTCCGCTTCTGCAAAGGAAGGGACGGCGATGGGAGTGTCACTACGCGTGAGGACGCTGTGCTGGACGCTCCTTGGGAAAGGAGAGCGTGGAGATGCGGGGCGGCCGAGAGGGGAGCCCGTTCAAAGGACACTCTGGCCACAGGACTGTCAGGGCCGGTCCCTAGACGAGCGGGGGAGGGGGAGGGAGAGGCGACGAGTCATTATCATTAATGGATGACGGCATGAATCAAGACAGGGCAATGTGGGGGGCTGAGCAGGCTGCAGTAGGAGAAAGACTTGTCCCTCAGGGACGCTGAGTCTGAGGATCCCAGGGGACAAGGAGCCACACTGGAAGGTGGCGAGAAGACAGCTCTGGAGCCAGCAGGCAGCTGGGGACCTGGGAGGAATGGACGCAGCTGAAGGAGAGCCCCAGGAAGACAAGTGGACCCAGGGACGAACCGCACAGACCTGCAATGGTCACATCTGGGACCAAGTCACAGCAGCAAGCAGAAGGGGCAGGCTGTGGGGCGGGGGGGCGAGGGGAGGCTCCAGAGGCCACGTCACCGTCGGATGTCATAGGGCATGAAGTCCACAGCAAGCCACCCCATCTGGCGACTGCAACTATCCTGGTGACCTTGGCGAAGTAGCTGCAGTCCAGAGCAGAAAGCCCCGTTTTACAGATGCGGAAACTGAGTCTTGGTGTTCGGGGACCTGTCTATATCACAGAGCTTAATAATTCATGCATTACCCACTTACGGCCAAGGTAACCGTGCAGGAGATACAGAGACACGTGGCATGGGGGTCCTGCCCCGAGAGAACAAACGGGGTGTCGCAGGTCCGGGAGGACCCGGGGACGGGCAGCGAGTCCCCTGGCCTGGGAGGGAGAGTACCCTAAAGGCGCACCTGGCGTCTGGGCCTTGTAATGGGCCATGAAGGACAAGAAGGGTCTGGACAATACGACAGTGCCGTGAACTCCAGGAGGAGCAGGCAGCATAATTCACATCAAGAAAACAAACTGTAGGGCCCTCCAGTGCAGAAGCCCAGACCCTGTGCTGTCTTACAAAGAAAGTACTAGAATGCATACACGCCCAGACATTAAGAAAGGTCTTAAAGGTGAAACTTCTGCAAACTGAAACCGTGGCTTAGTCACTCTCTGGGGGGCGGGGCGGGGCGGGGCGGCGGACGGATGCTGGAGAGGGAGAGGTGGCAGGAGAACGGACACAGCCAGATGTATGGGTGTCGGTCCTGTCTGGGTCCCTCACACTGATCATCTCACTTAATCCTTAGAACAAGACATTTCCTCCACTTTACTCAACCAAAATGGGGTCACTTATAACAACAGGGACCCCAGACCCAGACCAAGTCTGGCTGATTCGAGGCTGGCCCAGGCTGCTTCTCTGCTTCCAGAGAATGTCTGAAGATGAAACTTGATTCTTACAGGCAAGGCTTTTAAAAAATGTTCTCTGCAAAATACTGCCACCCTAATTAAGAAAATGTCCACAGCCAGCTACTTCCCATAGCTAATAAACCCGATAGAAGACCCTACGCCGAGTCCATGGACGTTTTGGCTTGTTACAGGTCACCTCTTTGCGGAAGCTCTCTTCTAAATGGAAAGAAATTTTGACCAAAAAGACTTGATTTTTCTTTTTTCAAACCTATTTTCTTGAAAACATACCTATACAAATGACCGGATGTGCCTCCACAGAAACTGCCCCCAGTAATTTGGGAGTGGAGAATGGAGAGCAGGCAGGACAGAGGAAGGGAGCCCCAGGACAGAAAAACTCAGCTGACTTCGGCCTGAGTTAACCAACTCTGGAAGTTGCTACCCCCGAGGTTCCACGCAGTAATACACATCCGCTGGAACAGCTCCGGAAGGGGACCCGGTAACCGGCTGTCCTCCAGGGCGGAGGATAAGGGACATCCCCTGAGAACAGCTCTGGAAGGGGACCCCCGTGTCCGGCTGCCCTCCAGGGCGGAGGACAGGGGTGAAAGGGAGACATTTTCCAATGTATGCCCCGTTCCCTTTTTGATTTTGCACTATGGGCATTTATTATCTACCCCCAAATGCATGCGTTTTTAAAAAGTGATACATGCTTGTTTTCCAATTTCCAAACAAAAAATTGACCACCAAGATTTAAGAGCATAGTCATCTCATCTCTCTCCACTGAGTCAGCATTGCTAGCTTCAGCCCACTAAATTCCACGTGACGGCCGGCCGGGTCTTACAGGATGTAATAAGCATTTTCAAACATGATCAGCCCATTAGCATAGAAAAACAAACAACTCTTTCAAGCATAAACTGAACTCCACCACTGTTGGAACCCCCATTGATAAAGTAACACCAAACTCATTTAATTGAAGAACTATGACCTCCCCATAAACGGTGAAAATGAATCCAAACCAAAAATTTGGGAATCTGGTCTTCATACGCACAATAAAAATCT